CCACAGCCTCGACCTGCTGGGCTCTGGTGGCCCTTCCGCCTCAGCCTTCCAAGTAGCCGGAATTACAGGCATGCGCTACCACGCCCGGCTGATTTTTTGATTTATTGTAGAGATGAGGTTTCACTACCCAGGCGGGTCTCGAACCCACGGGCTCAGGCAATCCACTCACCTCAGCCTCCCAAAGGCGCGGGATTGCAGGCTGAGCCACCGAGCCCAGCTCGGCAATTTTAATATTACACTTTTATAGCTACATATTGCCATTAAGCTATTGAGTCTATTACTAGTCAATCAAGGATTTTCATTTTGTCTCAAGAACTCCTTGGATAAACTCTTCAGAATTGTCAAAAGAGATGGAATATCCGGCACCTTTTCACAGATGGTGCTTATCAGAAATTTTAGTTAATGGATAAAGTTTCAGTTTTCCATGATTGACTTCTGGCACCAACAAAAGTCTTCCAAGGGCCTCTGCTTTTCCAAAAGCTAGGAGATACTAAAGAAATGCACCTGGTAGCACCTTAACACCCTTTATTCTTAGTAGGGTCAGCAACTGGGGAAGTGGTGGAATATGTCATTGGATCCAGTTTGTTAAGGAATGGAATATTTCTTGAAGAAGAATGATTTGACTTGCCCCATGGTTCCAAAACTATGCATTTATTTTGCTTTCCCCATTCCCAAGAATTACAACAAACAAATACAAACTAGAAAAGTTAAACTATCACATCGAGAGTTAAATACTCAACTGGCACATTGTAGCCCCTCATTGTGTATTTATCCCTCTTATCTGTTCCACAGTAAGCCTGTGCCCTCTCCATTCGTTCATTCATACATTCACACACTTATTTGATGCATATTTATTTACTGCTTATACCAGACTGCACTAGGTGGGGAGTACAAGCATAATGCAGACATAGTGCTTCCCTCAAGAGATTTTCAACCTAGCAGTGAAGAAAGCCAAGCCAACGTGCAATTATTTACCATGTGTTGAGGTAAGTGCTATGATGGCAGGGAGTAAGGTTTGGTACAGGATTTCTGGAAAAGCAGTGGAAGAGCACTTGGGCTTGGGGAAAGTGTTTCTAGAGGGGATGTTGTCGAAGCTAAGACCAGGGAGCTAATGGATATAACTCAGGTTCCAGGGGTCGAGGATGAAGAGCAGGACAGGGATAGAGAACATCATGTCCCACAGCTGGGGAGAGTGGGTCGGGAGTTGCAGCTGCAGAGGTATACAGCAGTCATCTAGCAAGAGACGCCCAAGCATTTGATGAGCTGGATTATTTTCCTGAAGTCAGTGGGAGCTTTCAAAGAACTCGAATCCAAGGAGGAGCAGGAATCTGATGTCACTCTGGCTGCAGAATGAGTTTGATGGGAGGCGAGAGTATGGCAGGAGAACTGTTAGGAGGTGGTGGCCCCGGAGAAATAAGGTGGCGCCTGGAAAAAAGAGGAAGTAGAAAATGGAATTTGATTAGGTTTGTTTCCACAGTCATGACATAATATAGTGAAAAGAGTATAGCACAGCCAAGGGCAAAAGTGTCTGGTCAGCAGTTTGGTAGACCCTGCATAGGAAATAAAAATGGGCCTCAGTAAATCACTAAATCAGTTCCTAAGTGGCGTGCTATGGAAAGCGATTCCTCTCCAACTCTGGATTTGTTTTCCTGGGTTTTCATTTATGATTGCAGAGAAGATTTGCTGTTTCAGGCTTTGTGGTGGGCACCTCAAGTATCTGATGGCTGCAGGGGTACAAACCATTGTACATGGCACCACGTAAACGCACCTGGAGTTATTTGAACAAATACTATCCTGTTTCCAATCCTTAGAACTTTCTGCAGTTTTTCATTCATTTGACAGTTAGGCAGTGTTATTCATGACTTCCTATCTTTCCAGACCATCTTTTGTGTGTTAGGAAACCAATACAATTGGGTGGGAATGAAGATAGGTAGTGCAGATTAAAAATAAAATAAAAATTTAAAAAGATCAATTTTCAGTTGTACAATTGAGGAAGCAAGATTGGTCAAATTGTTTTTATAGGAGAAAACACTAGCAACCAGCCTGTACGAAGTTGGTCACAGTTTAGGGGATATGTTACAAGCAAGATAAATACAAATGGTCTAGAGTATCAGACCAAACTCTCATTTTTCATCTCTGTTTCACACTCTCCTCTTCCAGCCCAGACTAATCAAAAGAAGCCTCTTCCGCTCACAATTGCTCTGTGTACATTTCCCCAGATCTGGTATTCACATGAACAACGTGGTTTATTTATATTTCAGCACCAAATTGGAAAGATGACATCATTCATTTACAGTCTTTATCCCATGACATGCCTCCTCTCCAACACCTCATTTCAGCAGACACATTTAGGACTGCATATAGCATCGTGTTTAGCTTGTACATTCTTTTATGGGATACAGTTCAAAGGCAGGGGACTTCAGGCTTGTAGCTGGTAAGAAAATAATCTCATAAAATCACAGGAGCTTCCCCAAAGGATAAGGACATTATGATGTTTACAAGAGTAGAGTTATTATTTGTTCATTTAGGCTCCATCGTTCATTCTTGGGCGAGCCCGTTCCTTCTCGCCCATGGCAGATCTCACAGCTCCCTACAAGCTCTCAGCATTCTAGTTAGAAGAAACAATTTCAGATTTATTAGTTCATGAGTTCAAAAGTACAGGCTCCTGACAATACTGGAATTTTAGGTGTGAACGCTGAATTTCAGAATCTCATGTGCAATGAGAGGCGGACTAAGGGGAACCTCAGGACTTGGTCTGCAACAGCTCCACTGACCTGCTCTTTCTCACAAGGCATAACTTGTCCATTGGGTCTTCTGACACTTTAAGTGGACAAGTGAAGGATGGAAATGCTATCAGCTGCCAAAGGTTGCCTGGGATTTTTTATTTAATTTTTAAGTGGTTCTTTTCCTCTATTTTTATTGTTTTTATTCATATACACTCATTTTTTTTTTACATTCACTTTGGGGCCTTTCAAATATTGTACACATTTTTTTAAATGGAGTGAGTAAACCATGAGACATCCTCTGGCAGATAGAATGGGGATGTGAGGTGTTTCCAAAACTTAACAGAACCAAAGCATTTCATGGGAAAGTTATTTCTACCTGTTTAGCTATTTGCCTTTTCTGCTAGCAGCAAGATGGGGAAGGGGGGAAGCCTAGAGATTGAGAACTGGATGACCTAAAAAATCCTTCATGTTCCATGTCAAGAAAGAGACTCTGGGGATGGAAATCTGCGCCTTACTCTTCTAACTGCCAAATGAGGATAGTAATAATTGTTCCTGGGAAAGTTTGGAGAATAAGTTAGATTATACATGAAAAAATACTATAGGAATTCACTATATTAGGTCCAGAATTCTCTTTATCATCAGAGTGTTATTTATATTACATAATAAAACTCCAACTGGTCTGAGGCTCTGCCAGCCCCTGCCTTCTGGCTCTCTGAAAGTACTAATGGTTCATTGTCATCTGGAGCCACCAGTGGGATTATTATGGCAACCTAAGAGATGTCCTCAACTCTCAGTGACCTTCCCTGCTGAAAACAAACACGCAGCTTGTCTGTAGCATGACAGTATCCTTCAAAGTCATTGCCCCCTTCATTCTTGCGGTCATTCATTGCAGCAGCACGTATTGTGTAGCCACAATTGCTAGGCCCTGTGCTAAATTTCAGGGAGATGCAGATGAGAGAAACAGCCTCAAGGTCTTTGGTCAGATGGACAGATACATCTGGGGCCGTGGTAAGCAGGAGGCACGTGTCACCTAGCTTCAAGGGTAGGGTCAAGAAAAGGCTCCTAGAGAAAATATTTTGAGTTAGCCAGACACAGAAGTTAAAGGTGAGGGAAGAGGGTCAGGGGAGGCATTGCAGGCAAAGGAAGCAGCATATACCAAAAAAAAAAAAAAAAAAAAAGTGGAGAAATGTCTTACAGCAAACAACAGCAGCAGTGGCAGTAGTCATAATAGTATTTGACTTTCATTGCCAGGAACTGGACTGACACTTGAAGTCCATCATATCATTTGCTCCTCACAGCAACCCCAGGGAAAGAGGTACTATTACTCCTATTTTAGAGAGAGAAAATCGAGGTTTATATACATTTAACTCACTTAAGGCCAAATAACCAGCAAAGAGGTGGAGCAGGTCTTGCTTGAATCCAGGCAGTTCTAGCCCCAAACCCGTATTTTCTGGCTTTCTGGACTGGATAATTGTTTCAGCTTTTTCCATGGTCTTTTGATATTTTTCTAGATTCTGGGAGCCTATCATGTTAAACCATCACTAGTTCATTTCTTACCCTGCATAATAAAACAATACAATTCTTTGGCCCTGGGGGTTTAACTATGGCACCAAGTTGCTTCATGTGACAAGCATCATGTGTTATAAATTAGAGTCAGCACCTTTTCCATGACTTTGCACCTTTTGCTCACTTTTCTTGAGGAACAAAATCAATTAAAATGTCCATAAGAGAGCCTGTGCCCAAGAAGTCATCCTAGCAATAAACCACCTCCATCAGTTTTTTTGCATTTGGCAGCTTTTGAGTAGATTTTTTGCCTTTGTCTTGTGAGACCATTGTTTACTGTAGTTTTGTGTTTCCACCAAGTCCTTTCCCATCTGTCTGTCCAGGGCTTCCTTCTCTAACTTCCTATAGAGTGTGGATTGTGATTGTTGGCACTCTGTGTTTGCAAGCTCATTCTGAATCTCTGTGATTGCTTGAAAATGTAGAGCAAAGCACCTTAGGGTACGTTCATTTTCCCCCTTTTAAATCACAAGGGGGGAAGTACATGAAACATCTACAGATGCAACACAGTGGCTTCAAGGGTGTGACAAAGCTTCTTTCACCAAAGCTGATGGATGGCATGGGGCTTTCTTTATTTTTCAAATTGACTAAAAATGAAAACTTCTGGATTAGGCATGGAGGGAGCCCTAGAGGGACTATAACTATGCCCCGAATCTCTTTGACTTGTGTCTTCTAGTTCCTGATAGAGTCTTCTTTGATTTTTGTTCTGCATAGACCCAGAATAGAATGAAGCTGATGGCAGACAACTACGATGAGGACCATCACCATTACCACCATCACCACCACCACCACCACCACCGATCTCCTGGGAGGTCGCAACATTCCAATCACAGGCCCTCTCCGGACCAGGTCAGTTGCTTTACCGCTTACCTCCAGGACCCCTTTTACTCATTGGATATTTTAAGATAAAATAAATAATCCTCAAGAAATAATAAACAGCATAAAGTGATACGTTCTTTGAACTGAAACTAATAGCTTTGGTATTTATTTCCATCACTCAAGGAATCTAAATGTTTTCCTTTCTCCTTCCTCTTTAAGGTTTTGTCTTTTCTTGTGTATGTTATGCATTTTCTTTCCTCCCCTCCTTTCTTCTTTCATAGATATGTAGTCTATTGCTGGCTTGATATCTAATGACAGGTTACTTTGGAATGTCTCTTTCAGGATTTTAAGAGAAAGCACTTTGTTTCCATGAGCTTGGCAACCACAGAAAGAAGGCTTGAGTTTGCTGAGCACTTTCCTAGAAAATTCCTTAGTGATGCAAGTTAATGGTGGGGTAAAACAATAAGGAGAGAAATCCGTTTTGCTAGTGTCTTAGCCAGTAAAGTCAAGGAATCTAGTTTATTTGATTTGGACCCTATCTCCCTCCCTTGACTAAGTAAAGCAAGTGAAAAGATCGATTGACAGAAACAAAACTGCCTGTGGTTTTCAGCAATATTTACATTTACCCACCAAAGGCAAAAACTATTTATAGTGTTTAGTATTAAGATTCTTGAATCTTATGGAAATTGAATTTTATGGAAATTAGGAAATTAAATGCAAACTAGCAGGATAATATAGTCAATATGAAAAACATTTCTTTCTTTATTGTACTGACATTTCTTCCCCCTTTTGTAGTAATCCTAGTGTAACTTACACAACGTATTTGCCTAGGTGTGGGCTATAGGTAATGAAATAGAACCATCTGAATATTTATGAACTCCTTTGGATATGGGAGGTTGAGGGCTTGTTGGAATGACCTGTGTGGAAAGGGGGTTTACTTGTTTGCTGGGGAAGGAGGTGCTTGTTAAGTTCCTTAAACTTTTCAGGTGACTCTTTCATTTCACCTCCTGTCACTAGCATCCCAAAGGAGAAGTTGTGATTCAAAGCCACCAAGATGTTTTGCCAGGAGTACAATTCCAGGTGGAGCTGCTTTTTTTTTTTTTTTTTGAATTGGAGTCTCACTCTGTCACCCAGACAGGAGTGCAGTGGCCTCTCCTGGCCACTGCAGCCTCGACCTGCTGGGCTCTGGAGATCCTTCCGCCTCAGCCTTCCAAGTAGCTGGAACTACAGACACGCGCTACCACGCCTGGCTAATTTTTGATTTATTGTAGAGATGAGGTCTCACCAAGTTGCCCAGGCGGGTCTCGAGCCCGTGGGCTCAGGCAATCCTGTCACCTCAGCCTCCCAAGACGCGGGATTACAGGCTGAGCCACCGAGCCCGGCTTTTTACATGAATGTATTTTTGTGTGGGTGCTTTCTTTTTTTTTTTGAGTTGGAGTCTCACTCTGTCACCCAGACTGGAGTGCAGTGGCCGCTCCCAGCCACCGCAGCCTCGACCCACTGGGCTCCGGCGATCCTTCTGCCTCAGCCTTCGAGTAGCTGGAACTACAGGCACATGCTACCATGCCCGGCTAATTTTTGATTTATTGTAGAGATGAGGTCTTGCCAAGTTGCCTAGGTGGGCCTCGAACCTGCAGGCTCAGGCAATTCACTCACCTTGGCCTCCCAAAGCGCAGGATTACAGGCTGAGCCACCGAGCCCGGCCTGGGAGCTACTTATATTGACCACAACCTTAGAAATTCTCTTCAGAGGGGCACACGGCTACTTATATTGACCACAACCTTTGAGATTCTCTTCAGAGGGGCACAAGGCAACATACCGGGTACCAGGTCCACTGTCAGGGGAGAGAAGGTCAGCTGGAAGTTCAAACCTCACCTGCATGCAATTTACTTATGTAGTAAATTCTCACATATTACATACAACTATAAATAAATAGATAAATAAATCAATAACTTCTCCCAGAGCTGTACAGTGAGGCAGCCTGGACCAAGAGGCTCCCCAGCCCCTGAGCTTTGTACTTGGAAGCATTTGCCCTCAGAGCCCCACCACTGCAGAAAGCATTCACACAGAACATCTAGATTTCTGAAGCCCAGTACAGAGAAGCATCATTTCATGTTTTTAGCTCTCAAAAATGGCTCTTGATTTGGAGAAAGATTAATTTCATGAATCTTATATTATCTTACATGTATGTGTTTTTGTTTGGGTTTGGTTTTATTTATTTAATCGTCACCCCTCACCACCACCACCACTACCACCTCCTCACAGTTGCGTTCCCTGATATACCTGGCATCTTGCTCACTAAATCTCTTCACTCTCATTCTTGGAATCATGCTGCTATTTATTTGCTTATTCAAACAGTGCTTGGAGCACATATTCCATGCCAGCCATTACACGGAACTTGCGGAAATGCACAATGGACCAGACAGAACCCCTGCCTTCAAGATGTTTGTTGTCTAGCCCTAGGACAAGAATCCAGATCATCTGATGTCTTGTTCAATTATTTTCTGGATGATGTCAATCAGATAAAGACAAATAAAAGGTAGTTATGACCTAACTAGGGGCCCATTACTTAGGAACTTACCCTGCAGTGGAGTTCACTGTGAAAGTGAAATGCTTTTGACCAGAAGGTCAGTTTTTTGGTTTTAAATTGGAGTCAGCAAGGCTGTAAGTCTCTCTTGCTGTACTCTTTTTCAATTAGAGAAGAAGAGTTAAGCAAGGAACCCTGATATGATAGTAGTTTGGTTCCAGTGATGGAGATGGCTATAACTCCTGGGCTAGATGTATTTTTTGACTAGGTGGTCCCAGGTCTATGGCAATGATACTCTCCCCTGTACTAAAGATTTGAGATTTAGTGATTAACTACTTACATATATGTGCTGTTATAAATCTAGGTCCCAGAATGTAATAGTTATCAACAGCTGGGAGGGTAGCCCAATTGATTACAAACCCTACACATGATTGTGAAAGTCACATATACTAATATATACAGAGTAGAGCTACTTCTTAGGAGAAAATGGCAGCCTTATATCAGAATGTGACAACACAAGAGTCTTAATAATGGAGTGATTTGGTTGAGATTTAACCCAAATGTCTGTAATGTATCCGTGTTAACTGACCTTACTTAAAGAAAGGAGATCTCTTCCAGGAATTCCTGCTTCCCTTTCCATGAATCTTCTAGCTCTGGCTTTCTTGTGGCCCTAAGACATGACCAACAATGACTTATGGAAGAGAAGCCATGAAATGTTGGCATTGCTTCGAGCTTTATTAAGAGATTAGAATACATAAAAATGAAGAAATATGAAAATCAGTCACTTTGCTACTTTTCCAGAAAAACTCATTTTTCCTTAGGTAATTCAATTTAAGTATTGCCAGGTACTTCAGAATTATATTCTTTTTCCATTTCTTCCCTGTCCCTTTCTCCTTCACTATGATTTTGCTTTCTCCTTAAGAGAAACTGAATCCAAGTATTATAAGTCTAGACTAGCATTTCCCAAAGTAACTTTTAGAACATTAGTCCCATGAGGAATGTCTTGAAACAAAGATTCTGTGGACAAAGAATTTTGGGAAAGTGCAGCATATTATAACTCTATCCTGGAGTGTCCTGGTACAATTAGCAGATCAAAGGATCTAAAAAATAATATCAGAAAGAAAGCTTTCCAAATTTTATTTTATCCAACATTTCTCAGACTTATTTGATTGTGAAAATTTTTTCCCTTCTCAGATTATCAGGTGAAAAAAGAGACTACTTGGTTTAAAACAGGACTGATCCAGTTTCCAGCAGTATGTCTCATCAGAAAATTGAGTTTTAAGGCAGTTTTATGTTTTGCATAATATAAAAATGAAAATGCCTCTTCCATTCATTTCCTGGGATACCTTCTTAAAGCCCATAACATTTGAGAATGAGTTGTTCTACCAAGAACCCAATAGATCTGAACTAAGGGAGCTATTAAAGATGAGGATCCAGGATATCAAGGATAATCATTAATACACAGCACTTCAGGGATTGCAAATGAGTGTGCAAATGAGTGTTAGAGAAGACATAAGAGAGGTCAGTGTGGTATGGCAGCCCAAAAATCTAGCCCCCTACTTGAGAGAGGAGCAGTTAGTAGCTAGTGGCCTGTGACTCCCAGGATGGTCATGGCCATTGACTATGTCCAAGTGGAGTATCCAGACAAATCCCAGTAGTGGCCTAGGAAATCCTTCAAACCAAAAAGTAGTCACAAGGGCAGACAGCAAATGTTTCCCATAACACAGTTGCTGGTGTGTTTTGAGAAACAACAAAGGCCAAAGAGTAAATGGAACATTAGAGATTTTACTGTTATCGAGGTTACCATGATGGATTTTACAAAGCCAAGTAGAAATTCAGCCTCTCCTGAATGCCTTCTGTACCTGTTGTCATCAGCCTCAACTGTCATTTTCTTTAAATAGCATCCTTCCCTGCCTTAAACCCTGTCAAGGACACCAAGTCTTTCTACTTTTCTTTTTCTAGGCATCATACAATTTTTATTGTCTCAGGAAAAGTCATATTTTATTAAACTCCTTCCTGTGGGTTCCAGGTGTGAACTCACTCCATCAATAAGAAAAGCACAGCATCATCATGAGCTCCACTCTCCAGCCAACTTCAAATGCCAGGCACCATGCAGGATGACATTTTTGCAACTAGGACTCACATTTCTGTGCCTGGGTCTTGGGTTAGGTGTTAGGTCTTTAAAGGCCTGAATCACACAACTTTTTGTGTCAAACGTAACTCTCTGTGTTAAAGCACCTGCCACTCTGATTCTAGTTTGGAGGAGCCTAAGTGGGTAAAGAGCCTAACCATTTTGGGGCTGGAAAACCCAGAGTAAGTGGCCAGTTTTGAAAGTCCAGAAGAAAACTCTTCTCTCCTCTCTCTCCCTCCTTCATTGAATGGAAATACTTACTCATAAGACTTGGGAAGCTCAAGGAATTTTGGCCACCTTTAAGATGTTCTGATCCTATTTAAAGTTTACATTTCACATTTTATTTATAGAAATCCTACTTCTAAAGGAGGG